CGGGGGTGCTGGGTGGAGACCCCAGCGGAGAGAGGTGACCCGCCTGCGGGGCGGTTGGAGGGTGGCACGCTGGTTAGGACCCTAGGGAGCCAGGTGAGTGGTGACTTAAGTGAAGTGCCCGCGGGGAGCGCAGCTGGGCTGCTGGGCCAGGCTCGGTGGAGAAGGGGCTTGGAAAGGGGCCTGCCCACCCCACCCCACCCCACCCCACGGGAGGTTCCTGGAACTGGGGCTGCACACCCAGCGACCGCGTCTTCTTCCGCCAGGGTTTACACTCGTGCCTGGGAAGAACTGATCGGAGGGGCAAACTGTTTCTCTCACGAACACTATTAACCACACCAGGAATTCTGAGCCGAATAACACGATTAGCAAGGTAATGCTTGCAGGTTTTGTGGAGGTTTCTAGTCTGCTCGTTGGTGCTGTTGGTATTTGGATTCTGTTCGGAAAATGGGGTGCAGGCTGGATCCGCTAACCCCAGATTATTGATCTGGGCGCATGTCCATTTGGAACAGCACCGATTCCTGAGTGAAATGAGTTGAGAACATGTCAAGACGCAGCTCAGTACCTGCTGCGTTTGGAAGTGGTCCCACACTTTGCGGATAGCCAGTTTGAAGCTGCAAGAACCTGTTGTCTGAATCCCTCCCTTTGCCCTTGAATAATGTACATGATAGCTCCCCACACCGTCCAGATTGCAACTCAGGAACAAGATAGTCTCCCCTCCCCAGCATCCGTGACAGTGAGGTCTGCACAGTGGGTGCCTTAGCCCAGCGCTCTCCACACCTCAATGTGCAGAGGGGTGACAGGGGGCCTTGTTAACACCAGTCTGATGGGTGGGTCTGGGTTGGACCTGAGCTTCTGCATGGTACTCCCGGGTAATGACAGGGCAAATGGCTTGAGGGCCGCACTTTGAGCAGCAAGGCTTAAAGCACCCCCTTTGGCACTGGCCGAACTATTTTGAGTGCTGACTGCAGCACTTAATAGCTCCATGACCTTAGGCAAGTTTCTTAACATTTAAGCCTCCCAAGCTGCAAAACAGGGATGTTACCAACACCCACCTCAATCTTGAAAATTAAATGAGAAAACCCATCTGAAGTGCCTAGTGTAGTGCCTGGCACACTCAGGTGGGGTTTAGGAAATGTTAGTTAATTGTTGGGGTCACCCTTGCAGGAGGAAAGCTGGCACAAACCCCAGCGTACCTGCACGGGGAGTGGTGGGTGGGATGACCCAGGGTAAAGGCAGCCAGCCCAAGAATGACCACTGTGCCCCGGAGTGCCCGGCTTGGGCCAGATGTGTAGAATAAGGTTGTGGAGTACTCGAACGACTGTAACGCAGAGCAAATCATAGATGTTTAAAAGTCCTGTTTCGAGCAAGAACCTTCTTGCTGGGAGGTCAGGCAGGGACCTGCACTCGGTCTTGGGGTGACGGAGAGGCAAGGGCTGCTCTGACTGCTCTCAGCCCTGGGGAACCTGACCTCTACATCAATGGAGACAACTTTATGAAAAAGGATTAACACACCGAAAGGTGTTGGGGGAACACATTTCCCAGTGGACTAGGTAGTTTGTGCCATGAGGGCATTTCCAGTAGTGGAAGCGGCTTGGAAAAGCTGTGTACGAACCGTGAACACCTCCTGAAGCCCAAGTGCCTCCTTTCTATTTCTCAGCACCGCATGATGGCTATTTCCATTTGGACATTTTTAAAGAGTTTTTTTTTTATCTGTTATTTTTGTCAACCAGTTCTTCTGTCAGCATAGAGCACTGGATCTGTGAACCTAAAGGTAACTTTTAGTTTTAACCAGGGAAATCCCACAAAACAACGTGGAAAGAAAATGAATCCCATAATATGTTTATTAAAAAAAAAACTTTGAAATATTTTTTTAAAAGTTATCCTGTTTCATCTGCAAAACTTTAAATCTTGATAAATGATTTCTGGGACATCAAATTAAAAAATCATTTTGCTTTTTATTACAGATGTCCAGCTGCCTGTCAGATGGGTAATCTATTTTAATATCTGAGAGAGTAAATGGATTGTTAAGGGGTAGTACGTTTTTTATCCTCATTAAAAACCTTGAAATTCAAATGAATTTATTAATGAAGATGTGGTATTCTTAGCTCTCAAAATGAATGGTATTGTCACCATCGTTCTCATCTCTCCCTTCCTCCATTCTCCTCTCTTTGTACCTCCCACCCCATCCTCCCACCCAAGTATGAGTGTTTCCTAAGAATCATTTCTTGGCTTTTTATTTTTCTCAGTTTCTGCCATTTCCCTTGGAAATTTATTTACGTCTTATGTTTAATTTTGAAGTGTGTGATTACTTCTGAATCTATACCTACATCCTTAACCTGTTTCCAAGCCCCCATATCTGCATTACCAATTACTTGCTAGGCATTTCCACTAAATTTCCACTAGCCTAGAAGTCCCAGTGTGTTCTAGATTAAGCTCCTCCCTCCTCCCATAAAACTGATACTTCCTTGGTAATAAGTCAAGATGGTTATTTGCATTGGGCAGCCCTCAGTGCTGTTGCGGGGACTTGGAAAGGACGTGGGACACACAATATGATTATCCCTGTTGCCTTCCTACTGCTCCCAGATATTGCTGTGAGACTTTGCCTTCAACAGTGACTGGGGCTAACTCATAAAAACAACTTATTGGTAGAGCACCCACATATGCAGCTGTGGGCTGCTGCATAAATGGTGATCAGTGTGAATTGAGCTTGTGAGAGTAGGGTAAGCTAGATTATGCCACTGTAGGAAACACCATCAAAATCTCAGTGGCTTCATACAACAAAAGTTAACTTCCTGCTCACGCCAAATCTCCTGGGCAGCTCTTATGGGGACTCATCATTTTAGGCTGCTTCACTCTTGTGACCTCTCCATGAGCACCATGGCAATGGAAGAGTGTGGAAAACTGCACACCAAACCTTAAACACTTTCACCTAGAAACGACACAGACCACTTCTGACATTTCAATGGCCAAAGGAAGTCACATGGTCATTACCAAACTTTAAGGGGTATGTGCTCAGAAGGAATGGAAAAGTAGAAATCTTAGGGATAAGTAATGATTACCACAGGGATCCATTTGACATAGGGGGTGAGGGGTAAAGCCAAATTGAAAGCAGTCCAATTATAGTAGGGAATGAGCATAGATACCAGTTGGAGGAAGGTACTCAGTGGTACGTGGAGTCTTTGGAGAAGCATTGCCATTATTGTTATTATACAACTAGAGGCCTGGTGCATGAAATTTGTGCACGGGGGAGGGGGGTCCCTCAGCCCGGCCTGCAACAATGCCAGCGTCCCTCGCCATGGCCTCTGGCCCGAGGCCCCTCCCTTCCCTCCTGGGCTGGGGCTGGGGCTGGGGTGATGCCGCCAGCATCCCACCTCGGCCACTATGGGCGCTGTCATCTTTGTTGCGGAGTGACAGTTAATTTACATATTGCTCTTTTATTAGATAGGATGTTATGTAGAGAGATACTTAACAGTGAAAACTTCCATCTCACTGCCTTTCAGGGTCAACTTATGCTTCAGCCAAGGTCAGTCAGCTCCAGGCATTGATCATCGAAGCTCTTCTGTGACACAGGAGCTGGGAAGTGTCTTCCATCTTGATTCTACCCTGGGGACACACCAACCATTAATAAGTAAGGTTTCATCAACACAAGAACATTTGCTGCTTTGGCTGACATTGGTGATCATTCTCCACTTGAGGAGTGAAAATGAGTCTACGAAGAATGAAATATTTCAGTGAGATCCAAGTGTCCCATGTTTCCCTGCATAACTGTCTGAATTATGCTTTTGACAAAGAATTTTCTTGTCTTCAAGGGAATGTTGAAATGTAGTCTAATGAGTAAACATCTGTCCACAGAGGCAAAAAAGCACTTGTATCAGTGTGAACTAATAAAATCTTGTTTTTCTATAAGCTTTTTAGATTCTTTTTCTAAAGAGCAGAGATTCTGTCCACTAAACTTGCTTCTGATGTCCCTCGACACCTCGTGTATCTAAAAGAGGAAAAAGCATTGATGAATGCTGTTAGCTCTAACATGCAATATGGATGTAGACTATTATAACGTGTTGCTGGGCACTGAATCATGCTTTTGATCTCAACAATTTTATGTTGTCTCTGCCCACACCCATCAGTGACATCCTTTAAAAAACATGTACCTCTTGTAAAACTGTTCCCAGATAAATATTTTCACAGAACATCAGCATTTGCCTAAAACTAGTATTCTGAGGCTTCAATCACACACTTCCACAAATATCTAAGATGAGTTATTGAAAAGGGGAGACAGAGTTTTTCAATTCATATTTTAAACTGTATGCTCAAATACTTTTCATTTTATCTGATTTATTTTTAGCTCAGAGTGCTTGCTAACCTGTGGTCCTGCCTAAGTATAAATCATAGCCTCAACAGACATGCTGCAGTGAGCCACTTATGAATGCATTGTAATGCCATGCAGACTGAGATGGAAATGTTCATTACCAAGATATGACAGCATTTATCAAGATGGGGCATGCAGGAGGCAGCTGATCAATGATTCTGTCTCATCATTGATGTTTCTATCTCTCTCTCCCTCTCTATTCCTCTCTGAAGTCAATAAAAAATATATTAAAAAAGAAATCCTATGTAATAAAAGCCTAATATGCTAAGTGTCCAGTCATCCAGTTGTCTGTTCAACCAATCAAAGCATAATATGCTAATGATATGCTAAGGCCGCTCAACCACTCGCTATGACATGCACTGACCACCAGGGGGCAGATGCTTCAACTGGTAGGTTAGCTTATTCCTGGGGTCTGGCCTATCAGGACTGAGCAAGATGGGGCCAGACACACCCTGGAGCCCTCCATTGTCCCTTCCCAGCTGGTCAACCTCCCGTGTCCCTCCCCAGCCCCGATTGTGCACTGGTGGGGTCCCTCGGCCTGGCCCGTGCCTTCTCGCAATCTGGGACCCCTCAGGGGATGGCAGAGAGCCAGTTTTGGCTCGATCCTGCAGGCCAGGTCGCGGGACCCCACTGGTGCATGAATTTGTGCACCAGGCCTCTAGTAGAATATAAAAGTGTGTATTTCGTCTTTAATTTACCCTTTACAATTTCAATTTTTATGGTATATTTTTATGTCTACAATATATTAATGCAGTTGTATATTTATATCATAAATGAATGTGTATGTGTGAGATAATAAATGTTTTACTTGCAAGAGAGTGTAGGCAGAAGGAAGCAAAAAAAAAATATTAAAACAAGGTATCTATGATTAGCTTTGTTTTTTGGAAGATGACTTAGACAACTTTGGAGTGGAAGGTGAGAGACCAGAGTCTGGAAGATCAGCCAGGTGGCTACTAGCCTGACTCAGAGGACAGGTGGTGAGGACCTGGTGATGGAGAGGAGAGCTCACCAAAGCACATGGTTTGGTTTTTAGTAGGAATTTA